AGGGATATTGGTCTGTAGTTTTCTTATAACGTCTTTGAGTAATGCTGAGTTGGGAAGTATTTCTTCCTTTTCAATTTTCTGGAAGATTTTGCATAAAATTTGTACTATTTCTTCCTAAACTATTTGGAAGAATTCACTCATAAAGCCATCCATCTAGATTTTTCTTTGTAAGGAGGTTTTAAATTAATGGTTCAAATTACTTAGCAGATGAGGAGCTATTCAGGTTCTGTATTTCTTTTTGAGTAAATGTGGATAGTTTACAACTTTCAAGGAATTTGTCCATTTTATCTAAATAGTTGAATTTAATGGCATAAAATTATTCATAACATTCCCTTTATATTCTAATATTAGCAGAATCTGTAGTGCTGTGTGTCTCATTTCTTATAATAATTTGTTTCTTTTCTCCTTTTTTCCTAATCTGTCTTGCCACAGTTTTTTTAGTTTCATTAATCTCAAAAAGCAGCTTTTTTCTCACTGATTTTTTCCTATTTTCAATTTCAATAATTTCTGCTCAGCTCCTTATCATTTTCTTTCTTCTGTTTATTTGGTGTTTAATTTGTCCTCTAGCTAGAGCATTTTGGTGGCAAATTTTGATTGGCACAAATTTTAGTATTTTTTCCTATTTCTATTCAGTTCAAAATAATCTCTAACTTCCATTTTTCATTTCTTCTTTGTCCCAAGAGTCGTATGTAAGTGTGTTAGTGTTTAGTTTCCATATATTTGAGGATGTTCCCAATGTATTTCTAACATTTATTTCTAAAGTAACTCCATCATAGTCAGAGAACAGAGTGAAATACACATACTTTTAAATTTGTTAAATTTGCTTGTTCTGTGGCTCAGAAGAGTCCATTTTTGGTAGATGCTCTGTGTACAGTTGAGAAGAATGAATATTCTCCTATTGTTGCATAGAATGTTTGAAATGTCAAGTAGGTCAAACTGTTTTAAGGTGTGATTCAATTTTTTTAATATTCTTACTGATTTTCTGTCTACCTGTACTATCAATTATTAAGAAAAGGTGTTGGAATCTCTGCTCCAAATTGTGTGTTCTCATCTTCTTGCAGTTGTATCAGTTTCTGACTTATGAATTTGTAAATTCTGTTATTAGAGCACATTTAGTAATGCTGTGTCCTCCTCTTGATTAATTAGCATCTTCATCATTAAGAAATATCCTTCTTTATACATTATAATATTATTTGCTGTGAATTCCAATTTGTTTAATATTAATATAGCTACCTCAACTCTCTTTTGATTGTTAGCTTAATATATATTTTTCTATCCTTTTCTTTTAACATAATTGCTTTTTATGCTTAAAATGGGTTTTTATAGGCAATATATAGTTCAGTCTTGCTTTTTATGTGCAGTCTGTTAATTATTGCCTTTTAATTGGAGTTTTAGTCCATTTATATTTAACAGAATTACTGATGCAGATGGTTCAATTTTCTATTACATCTGTTCTTTATTTCCATTTTTCCTCTTATTCTGCATTGTATGTGGTTTTAAAAATGATTTCATTTCCCTTCTTCTGTTGGCCTATTTATTATAGCTTCTTGTGGTTTAAGGAGTCATGGTATACATTTTCTTTTCTCGATCTTTAGTGATACTATACCACTATACTTAATATAAGAACCTTACAATATATAGTTCCATTTCCTGGCCTTAGTGATATTATTGTCATATGTTTCACTTCTACATGTGTTATGAATCCCATAATACATTGTTATTATCTTGCTTTAAACAACCTATTATTATTTAAAGATATCTCAATAGTATGAAAAAAACATTTCATATTAACCCACACAGTATTTCCGTGCTTTTCATTTCTTTGTGTGGATTCAGGTTTCTACTGATTTCATTTTCTTTTTACCTGAAAAGATTTCCCTTAACATCTGTGAAGTTCTGCTGCTGCTAGTTTTTTTAAGGTTTTGGTATCTGAAGACTTTATTTTTGTCTTCCTTTTTGAATGATATTTTCTCTGTGTATAGAATTCTGGGTTATTTTCTTCCAGTACTTTAAAGATGCTGTTCTAGTGTCTTCTGACTTGCATTATTTCTGAAAACAAAGTCTGCTATAACTCTTTCCTCTTATTCTTCTGCATAGAATGTAACTTTTTTCTCTCTAGATGCTTTGAAGATATTCTCTTATCACTGGTTTTAATCAATTTAAACAGGATGTCCCTTGGTGTAGTTTTTTTCATGTTTCTTGTGCTTAAGGTTTGTGGACATTCTGGATCTGCGGGTTTATAGTTAATCAATAGAAACAGATCCAGAAATGACAGAATATAGAATCAAAAGACAAGAACATTAAAAGTCATTTTACTTGCACTCCATAAGTTCAAGAAGCTACAAAATATGTTGAACTTATTAAGTAGAGACATTGAATATATCTATCTAAAATCAAACTTCTACAGATGAAAACTATGATAACTGAGGTGAAAAATACACTGGTAAGACATTGGATGGTATTAACAACCAATTAGATGTTGCAGAAGCAACAATTCATAAACCTGAAAACATAGCAATAGAAACTATCCAAAATGAAACAAGAGGGGAAAAAAGACAAAAACATAGCATTAGTGAGCTGTGAGATAACCTGAAGCAGCCTAATATATATGTAAATGGAATCCCTAAAAAAGGACAGAGGGACATGCAATTTTTGAAGAAATAATGGCCAAAATTTTCCAAATTTGAAGAAAGAGAATATACCACAGAGGACTTCATGTTATATTTTAGAACTTAGAAAAACTGACCCTATCAGAAAGAAGAAAAGTTAAAAGGCATCTTCTTGGTGGTCTCATGAAGGTGAAACATTCAAATAGAAACACAACACTCAAAGCCACTTTGTGAGAAAATGAACATTGAGAATTAATATAGATACAGTAACTCTAAACCAAATGCTGGAATGAAACAAAATTTATTAAGTGAAAGCATGTATTAATTCATTTAGCAAATGTCTATTAAACATCTACTATATGCAAGATGTCCCAGGCCCTGGAAATATAGCAGTGAAAGTCCCTGTGCACAAAAGGGGATAGCATAGGAGTGGAGACATAGGACATCAGCAAACAGACCACTTAGAGGCTTCTGATTCTCTGCAAAGGCAGCCTCCCTTGGTGAGGTACCTGTTTGCCCATTAAAGCAACTTGGACTATACCCAATCAACAGACATCAGAAGTAAGGAAGATGTCCAGCTTAATGAGGTACACTGTGCTCTTTGAATTGTTGGCATCAGTGCTATTCTCTACTCTTCTATCCCTTTCTCAAGTGATTTTCAACCTTGTTTAGCACAGAGGACCTTATTTGCTCCCTTCACCATTCCAAAGAAATCTACACACTCAGCAGCCAACTTAAAGAAAAGGGGAGACTTTTCTCTATCTGCAGATTTTATCTACCTCTCTGTAGCAGCTTGAGTCTCTAAAGAAGCAGCCAGGGTTTCAAAGCTAAAGCTTACCTTTACCACAGAAGGACAATAAAAATGTCTATAGCTCGTCTGAAGAGATCTAGTCCTGCATCCCTGAGCATACAGTTCCAAATACATCTCCAAAGAAACCCACTTTAGTCTCCTCCAAAGCAGTCTGAATGCTTCCAAAATGCTAGAGCTTCTCCAGGTGCATTGTTTTTTGTGTAAATTTTATTATGGCCATTACCATGCTTAGAGGTTCCAAACTATAGAATTAAAAATAACCTATTCTACCCCTTCAAACACTCAAAGAAAAAGAAAAAGAAAAGAAAAGAAGGGAAAGAAAGAAAAGAAAAGAAATAAGAGAAAAGAAAAGAAATGAAAAGACAAGACTCTAGAAGCTAAACACCTTCATAACAAACAGGTCATTTCAATAAAAAGACATCCAATTATATAGAATCTGATTGCTGGTAATAACTTGGAAGTCTCAAGAAACTGAACAACTTCAGCTTAAAACAATTATAGTGAACTACTGAGGATAAAATCACCCCCTAGACTCAACATAACTACAGATGAAAAAGAGAGAAGGCTTACTGATTCATTGTCCCTTCTGTTCCCAGTCTCCAACGCCAAATACATCAGATAGCAAAGATTAAGGCTTTGTTAAAATTAGAATTCATAGAAGCCTGTTTTTCAGTGGTAAGATTATTACATTTGATTTTTCAATTTTGAATCTTGAACTTTCAAAGACATAGAACTGATAATATAAATATACAAGAAAAACATTCCATTATATGTATGTACATATGTTTGTATCTCGTTTATGTAAGTCAAACATGAGAATTAGGCCTTCAACTAACAGACACTGACTTTGAGGTCATTTGGGGAATGCAATCTTTTTATCAATAAATTCCTTCTCTTAAAGCATATGAAGGTTCTCTGGACAAGGACGTATTCTATATTATAATAAAACATCTCTAGTTACATATATTTCCTTCAACTAGCAACAGCTTGAACTTACAGCAAATTTGGAAAATTCTTAAAAGGGGTTCCCACCATTACCTTGAGCAATGCATTAAAACTCTAAGAAGAAACTTGCTACTTTTCAGCAATGCAACTCTATCAGAAGGAGCTCTAAGCAAGAACAAGGGAGATTATTTTATATGTGGACAGTGTTAATTCATCTTATGTAAAGAAGAGTAAACAGCATACTTGATTGCCTTGTCTGCAGAGCATACACATTGCTCCATATGCTCTGAGAGTGGTAAGCCCCCTCCTAGCAAAATCTTCGTAGGGTATTGTATGATTAATGAATATTGTTGATGAAGGAATGATTGAATGAATTAATGGCTTAGTTTGGTAAGGTTAAGCAAAGTCTCCATATGATTTTTTAAAAAGAAATGAGACTAAAATGCATCTTATTAGCAGGCAAATGAATCTCTGTGTTACGATAAATGGAGTTTCTTTTAGTGGCTGGAGATAGTATCCTTTTAGTTAGCAAAACCACTTGTAAGATAAACACATTTTTCTAAGCCCTGAAAGAACTTCTTTTTCTGAGAAAAAACGAGAGTGCATTATGCTTTAAAAAAGAAATCATCACTCACAGATTCCTTTCCCATCTTCTTTTGTAGTCGCGTTTGCCATTGGACGGCTTGCATGACAATGGCTTCCCACCTTCTTTCAAGATTTACAATGATCAGCTGCATGGGCTGGTGGTCTGCGTTCAGATTGCAGGTCTCCCGGTCATCCAGAAGATGTTGGCATAATCGCAGGACAGAGGCCACTCCGCGACGTCGCTGCTTGATTTCACGACAGAGGGACTACAACAGAAAGAGGGATCAATTTATAAGTGTTTATAGGGCAGAGTTCCCTAAAACATGAAACACCCTCTTCCATCATAATTTCAAGTTGTGGTGATAACGCTCAGCTATGAACAGTAGGACAGGGGGACTTTGGAGTTGCCTTTAGATTGGGGATCTACAGATACTCAACTAAAGCCAATGGATTTTCGCTGCATCTCATTCCTTTTTTTTTTTTTAATACGGATTTCTACATCTAAAATGTTGGGTCCCACCTTGACATCTAGGTGATTAACTTAATGAAATAAATTATTAAGGTCATATAAATGCCAAACAGATTGAGATGCTTTTATTCAAGGTCATAGGAAACACAAAAGACAAAAAAGTCCTCCAAAATGAAACGAAGTTTTCCAAATTTACTCCTAGATTCTTTGGAGCCAAAAGTTCAGTTTTCTACTGGCTAGGAATATGTTAAATAAGATTGCAGAGAAAAAAAATTGATATATAACAGCTATTATTTGGGGAAAAAAAAAGGATAAGAAACATTTCTTTTCCGAAATTTGATTAACAAAACAATAATGTTCTGAAAGCAGAAATTGGGATACTGGATTATTACTGCATTATTTGTTAGTTGCTGTGTTTCTTTTAATAGACATTCACACTATTTAAGAAGAATATGCACACATCAAAATAACACTTTGCCCCAGAAGCATTTGCATTGCTGCAGTGACCCTAAGCTGAATGATTCAAACGAAATAGTGGGTACACATGTCTAAAAATATTATATCTTTTCCTTGCCTACGGATAGTGTGTAAGTGATATTCTAATTCAAAGCCTTCAGGAGAAATGATGATTATATACATAAACATCACTGAATTACTAATCTTCTACTGCCACAATTGGACTGTTCTAACAGTTAACAGATTGCTTATTAATCAACAAGGGTAAACAAGACAATGCAATTTCATTTAGTGCTAGAGTTTTAATGCCTAAAAGTATTTGTGCTTAAAATGTTAATCTAGATAAGGCTTCATTAGAAGAAGTCTTAAAATGATTAACTGCGGTTCACTGAAATGTGCGTGGAGTGGTGGTAGATCAGCAGGTGGACGCTTCATACAGATGTTCCACTTATTGATATAATACATGCTATAGCCATTTAAATGACCCTAACTTAGTAATAGCTGGAATTCTATTATTTCTGTAATAAGAGAACCCAATACCTTTAATATTTCTGCATTTTAAATAAGGCCAATGACAAATTCCCAACCTCTATTTATAGCAAAATATGACTAGGAATTTTATTATTCAATTTATACCAGGGCAGCATTTTTAGTTATGCTTCCTGAACTTACCCTTACTTATTTTCCTAGGGTTCATTACTATTTTCCTATATAACTTCTGACAGAACCACCAGGTCTGACAATTTTCTTTACTGGTGCTATTCATTTGTTCAATGCTGAATGAGAAGAAACCCCTAAACATCCAAAGATAAAACCTGACGGTCTACCAAAGCAACAGGCATTGTTTCCATCTCCTCCTCCAATCCTGCTGACTGCCCCTGCCCACAGGCACCCTCCCTCTCTATTACACTTACACACACACACACACACACACACACATCCTTCCTTCAATTTGCTCTCTTGCTCTAGGACAACTGTAGGGCAAGTCAAACCATCAAACCCACTTAATACCTGCCGACTTGTGGCTCAAAATCAAACACTTAGAAATAATAATATAACTAACAAATTGGTTCAAACGAGTTCTCTGAATATAAATATTGAAGATTTGAGGGAGTTTTTGTTTTGTTCTTGATTTGTTATAAATAAAGGACTAGCAAAATCAAAAGAGATGTTTACACGCCATTAAACAGGATATTACAAAAATTCCGTTTTAGGTTGACTAAAATAACAACTGTATTCCTCAGGCCAACAAAAATCCCCAGTGTGTCTTACCGAATGAAAACCTGCCATGGTTGGCACCAGAGACATGTCAGCATAGCCACAGTCATATAGCATAGGTCACATTTACAAAGTAGCCCAAGTAGGATTCAATCACCTCGCAGGTGTTTTCAGAGTTCTGAAACAGGACATGTGAGGTTGCTAGGGAAATTTTCATAAAGGTGATTGGCTATAAATTTTTATAAGTATCTAGAGTTTAGGTCCAGTATTTACGTATCCAGATGATTCCCACCCCACATCTTAACGACAGTCTACCCAGGTGGTTTTAAAACTGTGTAGGCTCTTTTTAAAAAACTGCTGACATGCAACATCTGATTTCTGTATCTTTTTCTGTAATTTAAAAAATTTTAAATATCCAAAGAAGTTAGTCTACATTCTAGATGAATAATTTACCCTATATGCACACTTTGGAAATACTACTACTTTAAAAAGGAGGGAAACATTGAGAATTTTACATGGCCAAGGTATTTTTCAGTATACATTTCCATATCTAAGAAAGATAATTGATAAAATAACATTCTTTTACATAAATAAGTTTCCATGGCAACCATTAAAATATACATAGTTATTTATAATCACAAACACATACTAAATAAAATCAGTGCATTTGCTGGCAATGTTTCTTAGAATTAGTAGTTCACATTATTTCCATGATAAACTATGCACAGGGAAATGTTAAATATAACTTCATAAGAACAAAATGATTATTATAACTATTTTTGGTTTACATTTTCAGAGAAAAGTACCTTTAAGCAGAAACCCAAGCTAAATAATCTAAGTAAGGCATAGAAATGAGAGAAACTCGTCACTGTTTCTCAGACCTCCTCAAATGTGTATTGCACTTTGTATCTGCTAGGCATTGTTTCAGGCATGGAGGCTTAAAAAAGGAGTTTGTGCAAGTTTGTATTGGAAGAGTTGTGAAATCTTCAGGGGAACAATGTGAGCCATTGGGTCCAAGTTGGGTGGATGTGGTTATAAGGACTGAAGGTCCAGTAGCAAGTAGCCTAGGACATGGGGAGTACCCAGCATATTGGAGAAAAGAGAGAGTAAAGCAGCTGAAAAAGTAAGTAAGGAACAGAAAAGTTTAGAAGGCTTTTCATTATTGCCAATTTCGAAGCATTTTCCTTGATACCCAATGAGATCATGTTGGTCCCTAAGCATAGTCATATTGCCTTCCCAGAAAAGTATAAAGACAGGAAGTGGGAAAGAAAATTTAAAAAGAAAGATAAACAGCTAATTATCAATATGTCTAAGAGAAAGATTCCAGATGCTTCTGTATTTAGTTATTATTTGATAATATTTAGGCATTTTTTTTTTCCCTACAAAGTTACTTCTGATAGTATGTAGGTCATTGTCTTAGTATCACTTCAGAATCTAATTGTTGGAATATAGTTTGGTGTGTTACTTTTTCTTCTAATTGAAGTATAGTCAGTTACAATATATCAATTTCTGCTGTGTAGCATAACGTTTCAGTCATACATATACATATGTTTATCTGTTTTCATATTCTTTTTCATTATACGTTACAAGATACTGAATACAGTTGCTTGCGTGATACAGAAGAAATTTTTATCTACTTTTATATATAGTAGTTAACATTTACAAATCTCAAACTCCCAATTTATCCCTTCCCACACCCTTTCCCCAGGTAATCATAAGATTGTTTAACTGTATTTGTGAGTCTGTTTCTGTTTTGTAGATGAGTTCATTAGCATCTTCTCTTTCTTTTTTCAGATTCCAAATATGAGTGATACCATATGGTATTTTTCTTTCTATCTTACTTCACTTAGAATGTCAATCTCTGGGTCCGTTCATGTTGCTGCAAATGGCATTATTTTATTATTTTTTATGGCTGAGTAGCATTCCATTGTATAAATATACCAAAGCTTCTTTATCCAATCATCTGTTGATAGACCTTTAGGTTGTTTCCATGTCTTGGTTATTGTATACAGTGTTGCTATGAACATTGGGGTGCATGTATCTTTTTGACTTAGAGTTCCCTCTGGATATATGTCCAGCAGTGGGATTGCTGGATCATTTTGAGTTTTTTGAAGAATCTCCATAGTGTTTTCCACAACGGCTGTACCAAACTACATTCCCACCAACAGCGTAGGAGAATTCCCTTTCCTCCTGCTGTGTTACTTGTAATTTTCTAATGACCTATTTTATTTACTTATTTTACATTTCTATTCAGTTTCCTCATGTTACTAAAAAAGCAGATTTGTTATAAAAGTTGAGAAGTGTAAAAAAGTAAAAATCAAAACTTCTAAGTTGTTTTTTCCTTTAAAACAATCAGCTCTCCAATGATCTAAACACATCTTTTTGGACATGCTACAAGAGAGTTGCCAACAGGCTGAAGGTTTTTGTTTTATATTTATAAACTGTCAATCTGATTTTTAATTCACCAATGATGATACAAAGGGGTGTATTTGGTTTATCTGGGTTTTTTTCTCCTCTCCTGATTTGCTCTATGAACTTCTTTGACTGTTTAAACCACTCAGATTATGGAACTGTGTTGTAACATTTTCCTGGTATTGGCTGCAGTTTAACACCACTGAAGGAAGACTTCCAAAATTGGTAATTCAGTCTTCATTATATATTAAATATATGTATATATGCACACATATTGCATAGAATGATTATACGTACTTATATACAGATTATATGTACTTATATGTCCTTGAACAATGGAGGGGGTAGGAGTGCCGACCCTCAGCACAATAAAAAATTTGATTATAATTTATACTTAGTCCACGGTTCCTCTGTATCTGCAGTTCTGCATCTGTGAATTCAACCAACCCACCCATCATATAGTATTGTAGTATTTACTGCTGAAAAAATTCTGAGTATAAGTGGACCCACACTCTTTAAACACATGTTGTTCAAGAGTCAAAGGTACATTAAACAATGCTGTCATCTACTATCATAAAAGGATATAATAAGCTTACAATTAAAGAACTACAATTAGACCATAAGCCAAAGTGCACAATAAGTAAAATGTAAGAACTAAATAGAGAAAAGAGACACAAGGAGGAAAATGAAATGAAATGAAAAAAACAAAAC